TTTAACTTTAAGTATATTACCATTCCTTAATGGTAAATTCTCTTCCTCTTTATTAAAGTTTTAAAAAATGTTCCCCAAACGCATTAATTTGGGTCTACACATATTTATCCTTTTTAATTGTTTATTTTATTAGTTAGTTTTTGCTTTGGAACCGATTTACTGAATGTATATGCACAAATATGTTAATATAAAGCATCCTGTATAAAATATTAGTTTAAATGAGAGATCTGTGAGATTTTGCTTGCATGGCTATTGCCATGTTTTGAAAAGAGATCTGGGCTTTATTATTATTATTATTATTATTATTATTATTATCATTATTATTATTATCATTATTATTATCATCATCATCGTCGTCATCAATGCATTATTAAAATAAAATTTTTAATATTAGTTATTGCACTGTGAGTTTACAATGAAACTTTATTTTCAAATTTTAACGTTAACAAAGACGAATAAAAACTGTATGCACTGCTCAGCTCCCGACAAATATAAAAATGTTCAACTACGACCCTGTGAGGGGAGCGGTGGATGCTTTCTTGTTACAGCATCTGCAGTGTTCGCTCCAGACCATGAGGCGGCGGTATCGCTTCAGCGCTGTTGCTGAGCCTGAGCGCAGAGCCCTCAGCGGATGTTTTTAAGTAGGCTGAGGTAACCAAGCAGTGAAATTCAATCCTCGCGCATACCTGTAACACACAGCCAGGTAGAATATACGCCAACGTCAAAACATTAACCGTTAGATTGCTTTTTTCGCATATATATTCTTCGGGCTAACGTTACCCAAGCGATGTCAGGCAGCTGCGGGCGGAATCCTCCTCCATTCCCGGATAATGAAGATCTGGAGGCTGAAATAGACGCCCGAGTGCTGGACAGCGACGAGGAGGATGAAGGAGAGGACATATTTACCGGCGCCAGAGTAAGACTCCTGTTTTTAGCCAATATTCTGCTTGGTTTAACATCTTTTTGAGTCGATATATGGAGAAATGTGTCATTTTATATAAGACAAGTCTAATTGTATATGTCTGCAGCATTTTGACTTATTATGCTATTCTGTTTCTCACGCAGTTATTTTATGGGCTGCTACGTTGTTATCACGTGTTGATGTGTTTTTTTTCCAGAGTAAACCGACCACACCGACATCTGCTCCCGATGAGGGCGATATCTTCAGCGAGGAGGGCTCGTACATTAGGAGCGATGTCCATCACACCACTAATGGTCTTCACTCTGATGAAGAGCTGGATCTGTTCACTGGTATTTCTCCTTGCACCCTTGCTCATAATGAGCCAATAAATACGTAATGAGTTTACTGGAGAGCATAAAATGAATACCGCCTTTGTCTTTAAATATAAGGCGACAGTTCATGAAAAGATGCTTTACCTGAGGTGTAAACAACAACAAGACATCTATTTAACCTTAATTTACAGATGTTGTTTACATATTTAAAAAATCATTTTAAATCCATTGAATTTATATATTCTTTTACTGTTTTGTTATCTGAAATTAATTATAGGCTGGACGCAAAATTCAGGTTGTTTGCACTTTATATTAAGTGGCCTTAATTACTATATAATTACTTTTAAATTAATCCTTGATTAATGTCTTACTTAAATTTTTATTACAATGTTGGCCCATCCTTAGTTCAACCCAAAAATGAAAATGTATTTACTATTTACACACCCTAAATCGTTTCAAACTACAAAAGAAGATGTTCGGAAGAAAGCTGAAAACTGTCAACTTCAATAGTAAGAGGAACAAACACTATGGATGTCTATGGCTACAGAATATCTTCTTATGTATGCAACAGAAGAAAGTCAAACCGTTTTGGATTTCCAATTGTTGTGCAATACAGAATTAACTCAGACATTTTGTCTAATGTCGGCACATAATAGTTAAGGCCTCTTATTGTAATGGTAAATAAATGTTATTCTTAAAGTATGAACAAATATCTGTCAGTGCATTATAGGCACTACTTTTTTGTTTAAATTAAGTTTATAGGTGGAAATTGACAAGTGTTTGAAAAAAAGTGAACAAGTCTTCTTAACACATTTTGCTTCAAATGTAAATACTGTGTAAAAACACCAGCTTGCTTGACTTCTTCAAACTGAGTTCAAAAGGTATAGTAAACGTTTTTTCTTCGAGAAGAACTATTGAAACATTAAATGTTTGTGTAGAATTAATTAAAAGGTAATCAGTACAAACTTTCAAAAATAACAGAAAGTATATATATTAGTGATATAAAGGATCACAGACCTCACGGTTAAAAGTATTCAGTGGCTTAACTCTTATGGCTAGTTGTTGCCTTGTATTGATTAAAGAAGGTAATTGCTGCCTACAACTTTAATTTTTGAGTACATGACGATGATTTTAATCTTTAACATAAACATCAGTGCTTATATCTAAATTACTGTTATCCCAGAACTTCTGTTTTAATTGTGTGTTTGTAACTTCAAAACTAACTCAAGACTAAAGACTGAATCTCTCTCTTGATTTTTGCATTTTCAGATTTGAATGCAGCTCTTTGAAGGATAAATAAACATATACAAATCACCATAATTTATAACTTATGTTGCATGGGTGTTGAGATCCCAAACTTTTAATAATTAATCGTGCAGCTTTCACTGAATGCATTCATGCAGGCTAAACAAGTAGTGACAGAAAACACCTTTAATGACATAAGAAACCCATCACATCCCCAATAACCTACCACAACTTCTTCCATCATCATATTATGCGAGTTGAATGACGCGAGAGGCGATCTCTCTCTGTGATCATTACAGATTTAAGATTAATCTACCAGTAAAATGCATTAATCCACGGGTCACGTGTGTTCCGAACCATGGGTTGTCATCCATTCGAATCACAGATCAACCATGATCCGTTACACCCCTTATATATATATATACATATTCACATTATATAAGTTTGATGAAAAACCTTGGTAAAGAAATCTGTCAGAATTACAATTTGTTCATTGTTTTGGTTATGTAAGACTCAGAGGCACTGCAAATGTTAAACTGAAACCGGTATACCTAAACCTGTAGACTAAGGGTGTTTTCACACCTGTGAATTGATTCAGTTGTTCCGAAACAGAGATTACAAATGTTACATTGTTGTTCTTTGCTCTTGGAGCAGTTCGCTTTCACACTGCAAAGTTTCTAATCGGACCAAAAGAGCTAAAACAAGTCACGTGCGAGTAAACTCTCCTCACATTGGTCAGAGTGTCAGGGTTTATTTTGCAGAGTCTCGCTCAGCTGTCAGGAGAGGTGGTGGTTTGGTGGTGAATGACAAGGTGGGTGCGCGATGTGTCTGAGGAGAGATGCGGTGGGAATGGGTGAGAAGTGTGCACGATGATGCCTATTTGAGGACCGGGAGGGAGACGGAAGATTACCGGGAGATCATCACTTGTTTGCGGGCATCCGGAGACTCGCAAAACTGCCCGCCCTACTCATAATTCTCTCTTCATATAGCCGTATGCCTATTACATATCCATAAAACACTGTGAAATAACCGCGCTCGGTTCGGATCGCTTTCTCACTGCAATCGAACCACTCCAGGGTTCGTTTCAATCGAGCCGAGACCACCTCACTCAGGCGGTCTCGGAGCGATTACTTTGGCGTGGAACAGAGCGCGATTGCCCTGTTCACATATGCCAAACGAACCGCACTAACTGGGCAAATGAGACAAAAGTGTAGGTGTGAAAGCACCCTCAATAATTTCAGCTACATTTATGAGCAGATGATTTTACAGGCAGTTGTATATAATGATTTGTCTAGTGGTTACAATAAAACAAAGCCTGTGTCTGAAAGCGGTAGTTTATATGCAGTAATAACTGACTGGCATGATAGTCACTTGATAAATATTTTTTGGTGGTTAACTCCGTTGTGGCAACCCCTAATTAATAAAAGGACTAAGCTGAAGGTAAATGAACAAAATGTAAATGAGTTAAAAAACGAAAAAGGCAAAGAACTGGTTCCCATAAATAATACTATATTAAATGTAATGATTATGTACTGTTACTGAAATAGTTCAAACCTCTGTTCCTTTATGTGTTCTCCAGAGGCCACAGTAGAACTGACCCTCACCAACACCACCAGTCAAGGCAGGAGAGAGATCATTGGGCCGACTGCATCAGCTTGCAACACCACACATGTCCCTAATTCCATACTCAAACCCAGCATCGTCACCAAGACCATGGAGGAGGTACTTAAACAAGACCCTTCATTTGACTTCAGTTGCACTGAAATAATGATTTATTAATTTTAACTGAATGCTTTTGGACTTTAACAGTTAGAAGAGGAAGAAAGTGGAGACCAGTTTGAGCTAAACATTGCCGTTACAAATCCAGAGAAAATAGGTATGTTATTATCCTTATTTTTATGTGTAAATAATGTATTTGTGGGTTATGTACTCGATTCTTTGATTGACACTAAGTGAATAACTAGTAGAAAAACGAAGTAAAGTTGACATTAAAGTATTGTTTTTGCACTAGGGCTGCACAATATATTGTTTAGCATTGATATTAGAATGTGCACATCCACAATAATCGTATCACACAATATGCAACATTGAGTCTAATTATAGATGACTAACAGCCACAGAATTGTATTTAATTACTTTTATAATTATTTATACAGAATATATAAGTTTATGTAATTTAGAAATTATTACTTAGAATGTTTTTAATTCTACAGTTCAAAGTGAAAACAAAATTATTTTACTTACCCCACTGGCAGATATTTACTTGTTTTAAGAAAAAAACACTTAGTATTGACTTGATTTTTCTGAAACAGTATTTTTACTCGATTAAGAACTTTTAAATATTTTAACTAGAATTGGACTGTCCTGCTTTTAATAATTCCAGAAGACCTTTGTTGTCATGGTCGGGTGAGGGGAAAAAGGAACGAGGACCCAATTGCAGAGTGAATTAATATTATTTATTAATAAAATAAAAGGCAAAATAAACAACCCTGAGGGGGAAAAACACTAATAAAACAAATTAACAATCAAAACAAACTAGGATGGAAGGCTGGCGGGGATCAGGACTGGAACAAGGTAACAAACAACAAGACAAGGCTACATACAGTGATGTACAATGACGAACTGGCACAGGACAGCAGAAATGAGGGAATTATAAACTGTAGTAAATTAACACACAAAAAGATGAACATAATTAACTAATAATAGGTTAACAAGGAGGGTGAGACTTGACAAAAGACGGGAGAGTGCATGACATAGAGACAACACAAGGCATGCGCTCACATAAAACAAGACAAGAACATGCAGCCAATGAGAGAACTCATTAACCGCATGTTCATGACAACACAAGCACAACACTGAAGCACACAAAAGCACATGACCACAATGTAAACACATAGCCACGTGCTTTGACTACAGACGCAAGACACGAGCACACGATAGATACACCTTACAGTGCGCTCACACATATGCAACGCGCATGCTTCATCTCAGCGTCACCCAAAACCGAAAGAAACTAGACGAAGACGATGAGAATGAAACAGCGTGATGCCGACAGAACAAAACACAAACACTACTACAAGTGCGCGCGTGTCGGTGTCTGATGGCGCACGCACACACAGAGACACACACAATGACAGAAACAGGACAAAACAGGGCTAGTGTCCGGACTCTGCCACCAAAACAAGAATTCACAAGACCAGAGTGGCAGAACCCTGACACTTTGTTATGAAATGAACTTTCTTAAGGACATGTTTAACAAAGTGACACCAGGAATTTTTTAAATAATTTTTATCATGTATTAACACAAAATATCTTGTTTAATTTATGTATTAACTTGTTTGTTGTTTTTAATTGTATATTTGTTATTGAAATGTTCCTGCCACGAGAATAGCCTTGGTTGCTGACATTGCATTAAATATAAAAATACATTACATTACATTGAACTAGAATTAAGGCAAAGCAAAACAAGAAAAAGCATTTTTTTTTTGCAATTGTGCGTATTCAATTTCTGTACCTGAATACTGTTGAACCCACAGAAAACCATCAAATAGACGGTTTTCAAACTATTATGTGAAACTGTTTTCATATCCTAATATTTATCGCAGAAGGATAAAATATTGAAACATCAGATTTTCTCAATATCCTGCAGCCCTAATTTGCACCACACATCAATGAATTTGAAATTGTGACAAATTAAATAAGTAAAATGATACAATTACAATTTATTTGTATATTTTAAAAAGTGATGTGGAAAAATCATCTATAATTGTCTAAAACAGTGGTTTTCAAACAGCCTCAGCAAAAATCTTAAAAAGTTTTTTAAATGCTAAATCGTGTAAACATTAAGAATTACAGCAACCAGGATTTTATCATACAGTACTCTTATTTGCCTTGTTATTATAAAAAAATACACATCTTAAAACTCCTGCAAAAAAAAAAAAAAATCAAAATAATGGTCAATCGCTTAACACTCATGCAGAAATAAAGCTGGTTTGTATTTATTGCGTCTGTAGTACCAGGGGAAATATCTTTGCTTCTGTGTGGTTTTTCAAAATATTTTCTTGAACACGTGAAAGATTGAGAACTGCTTTTCTAGATTAGGCGTTTTGCTATGACTGTTTAGTTTAGAGCTACAGTGACTGTTTTTCTGTGTTTGTTATGTTGCAGGAGATGGCATGACTGCCTACATGTCTTACAAAGTGTCCACTCAGGTACATAAATATAAATATAATAATTGTTAACAATTTATATGTTAGCATTATACCTATTCTCCATGTCTCTGTTTCTCTCCAGACTACACTGCCCATGTTTGCTAATAAGACGTTTACAGTGCGTCGCCGTTTCAGTGATTTTCTGGGACTTTACGAAAAGATGTCAGCTAAAAACTCGCTGATGGGCTGCATCATCCCACCTGCACCTCAAAAGAGTGTAGTGGGTAAAGAAGCTCTTGTCTAGTAGAGTTACTCTATTAAGCCTGCCTAGACAGTCTGTCACAAGGATGTTCATTCTGAGCTCGCACTTGTTGGCTGTCACTTGCATCATATTTTTGTGAACAGTCTGGTTTGATTTACTGACTGAGTGAGTGGTTTATTGTGTCACAGGAATGACGAAAGTCAAGGTAGGGAAGGAGGATTCATCCTCAGCGGAGTTTGTGGAAAAGAGACGAGCAGCGCTGGAGAGGTGAATACATACATATTTACATGTACACATACAATGAAGTCTATCAATTGCATTTTTCTGAAAGAGTAAGTGATGAATGTTCACATGTAAATATGATCTAAATTGGACATGAATAGAAAAACTCTTAGTATGATGCAACATTTTGATGTAGGAAATGCTTGTGAAAAAAATTTAATAGACAGAAAATAAGTAGGAGTGGGTGAATACTTAGTGACTTTCACACAAAAAGTCAGAGTCAGCTTTAAAAAACATATAATTTCATGAACATCACATCATAGTGGATTAAAATGAAACCATTCACTCTGGAAACAACAGCAAACACTTGCAGTATACAGTCAAAACAGTAAATATAGAAAACAATTACAGACAAAGTACACAGATTAAAAACTGCATTGGCAGTTAGATAATATATACATACAAATGTAGCAGCAGTTTTAAAGAAAGTAGTAATGTAACCTAAACTAACCTTGAATAAATATAGACTAAAATGTGGATGGATTTTAAATAACGTATTTAGATAGCCACATACTTTAAGAAGTTGGCCATTGTTTCATGTTTATTTTGTGACACATTCAAACTCCCTCAACCCTCATCAAAAAATAAATTTAGTCTTGTTAAGGTTTTTGTTTCAAAAGTAAAGCAGAAATTTATGGATATTTTAATTATAATATTTAATATGCATATTCACAACAACACTTGTTTAACTTTTAAAGATCCCATGAAGTGCTTTGAAATGTGCATTTTTATTTGATGTTTGACGTAATCTCAACCGAAACATAGTGACATAGAGACATAGTGTAGCTCCTCCCCTTTTTAAAAAACAGCCTATAGCGTTATAGGTAGAGGGATTGAGCTCAATTGCCAGGTAGAGGGATTGAGCTCAATTGCATCAAATGAAAAGCAAGTGAGAAGCATCCTGAAGGAGGGCGGGGCATGTCAGAAATTAGAGAGCATTTGATTGGCCAAGATTTGATGAGAAACTGGGTGTGTGAGGTGACGTGAATTATTATTATTTTTTTGCTCCATATGGGCGGAAGTGACAAAACTACAAGCTTTACATGTTTATTTTAGTTTATATCTACTAAACACAAATTGTGTCTCTGATTTGGAGCACAATAGCTTATAGATATCTTAAAAACTAACTATACTGATATTAACATTTAAAAAACTTTATTTTAATTTCATGGGACTTTTAACATTTAAATTGCCTGTATGTCTGTGATTACTGCAGGTATCTACAGAGAGTAGTGGCCCATCCATCTCTACTGCAGGATCCAGATGTTCGAGAATTTTTAGAAAGAGATGAGGTGACCTTTATCATGTTTCTAGACACATTGCAAAGTATCTTTAAATACACATTTAATTTCTAACCTTGTTTGTGTTTGTGTTTTTAGTTGCCCAGAGCTGTGAATACTCAAACTTTAAGTGGACCTGGCCTGCTTAAGATGATAAACAGAGCATCTGATGCCGTAAATAAGATGACCATTAAAATAAATGAGTCAGATAATGTAAGAGAAACTCACTTCTTTTAGTTTTAAAGTCCCTAATATACTTTTGCATACAGTCTGTGCGATGCAAAGTTTATCATTAGCACATGATTTTAGAAACTGATTTTATGCACACTTTGTATGTATAGGTGTCATGTGTAGGTGGCTTGATTTACTTTCATTTTGTAAAGAACAGCAAACTACTGAAGACATACAACTTTAGTTTAAAGAATACAAATACATTTTTATTACTTGTAACTTGTGGGGAGAAAAAGTTTTCGTCATCATACTTTAGAAGATTGAATATTCAACTGTTTACATACACTACTGCTTCATTTTCACTGAGCGGTTCGGTTCAGTACAGACCAGTTAAGTACATTACAGTATGAATTGGTATGGGTCACCTTGACCAGGCTTGCATTTCCACTGCCAATAGCCCCCTCACTCAGCAGGAATGGTGTATGACATGGAGCAATAAACATTATACTCACTCGAAAAAAAAGCCTTTTAGGTTGAGCTCAAGTTCATTATTTCAAAAAATGTAGATGCACAGTAAGTGCACCCAAGAAAGAGAGGACATTGTGTAAGTCATACTTTCTACATGTTTTAGACCTGATAGAAACAGTCCAGTAAACAACAATAGAGGACATACAGTTAATCATGTTCTTGCTTCTTGATATGTGGCTGTTTATCACAAGAAGAAACAAGCTTCAATTGATTATGGTTCATAGCTTTACAACTTCATTATTTAAAGAATTTTGAGGCATGTAAACTATTACAATGGTGCCAATGCATTTCCTGTGAATTAAAATAGTGAATTAAATAATATTGTGAAAGCTGTTTTAACTTTATAATTGAATTGCCTCCAATTACTGTTATGAAGTAGTTTGACAAGCAGGAAATGTTCATAGGCCAATGACGTCACCACATTGAAATAGTCAATACTGTGTAGTGTTTCTTGTTCCACTGTAAATGTAAACCTAAAAAACAGCGTTCTGCAACAAGTGTAGCTTCACCACTTTGGTACTGTACTGTTGTGCTAGGTACCTTATGAAAAAGACCCCAAAAAATGTTACAGTATAGCCTTCACTTTTTTAGTTCTTCTGACATCGGAAATATCAATGAAATTGTGACCTTGGAAATTGAACAGTTCTCACCATACTGCACTAAACCATCCTGCTCAGTCGAAACGAATTATAAAAAAATGCAAAAAAACTATGTAAAATCTGGGCTGAATACGTACATTATAGGCTTTCACGCCAGACTTTTTCACAATTTTTAGAAAACAGCCCTGACAGCAAAGATAAAGGAGTACAAAATCTCACCTTTGGATCTAAAGCCACTAATAAAAGGCTATATTCTTAACAAATGGCAAACAGAATTGATTAGTGCTCAGAAAATAAACTTTTTGAAATTCAGCCACACTCAGGACATGATGAGATTGTTTATAGAAGATGCCGCATTGGACACATAAGACTCACACATGAACACTTACTCAAAGGAGAAGAACCCCCAAAATGTCAAAATTGCAACAGAAACCAAACTGTTAAACATATTCTTGTGGAATGTCCTATTTTTAATGTTATCAGACAACAATTTTTATCTGGAGAGACATTTAGTGAAATATTTTAAATGTGAATCCTTCTAAAATTGTACCATTTTAAAAATCAAAAGTAAACCTTAAAAAACAGTTTTAGATTTTTGTCTTACACATTATTATTGTTATTATTATTGTTATTTATATATTTTACCTTGTGTATTATTTATTGCTGTTGATGACTTTTAATTGTTAGAATATGTTTATAATTATAGAAAAGTGGTATTTATAAAATGTGGTCAACTTGATCTGTTTTTTTTTTTTGCCATAACTTACTGTAGCCAGAGACGCTGATATTGCAATAAACTCAAAAATCTCTCTCTTTACAATTCTTAGAACTATTAATGGAACTACCAGCTTTTTGGTGTGTTGCACTGCTGGAACATGGAATTAACTGGCCATGCCATACAAAACACCAGCACAGTATTGTAAAGTGCTACAAGTTAGTAGTCAACAGTGTTAAATGTTGCTTATATCTGGTCCAGGAGCATAATTGAGGGAATTTAGTTCTTGGTTCTAGTGGCTAGTTCCTACAGTATACCTAAGTTCCTGTAATTACCTGGTGCCAAAACACTTAATCTCCCAGGCATTCACAGTTGGCTAGTGGTTTACAGTTGTGTGTGTTTGTGTTTGTCAGTGGTTTGAGAGTAAGCTGCAGGAGGTGGAGAATGAGGAGCAGCTGCTGAGGAGACTCCATGCAGCCGTGGACTCATTAGTAAACCACAGGAAAGGTGAGAGTCAAAAAGTGCACTGTAAAGCCAGTCTTTTAGAGTCATACTGTGACTGAGCATCTGTCTCCTCCTGTAGAGTTGTGTATTAACACAGCGGTGTTCAGTAAGAGTGTGGCCATGCTGGGTAGCGTGGAGGAGAACTCGGCCCTGTCCCGTGCCCTTTCACAGCTGGCAGAGGTGGAGGATAAGATGGAGCAGCTACATCAGCAGCAGGCCTTCAGCGATTTCTTCATCCTCGCAGAGCTCCTGGCCGATTACGTCCGACTGCTGGGTGCTGTGAGGGTGAGTGAGCATAACCATTTAACCAGACTAGAGATGCGTGATTATTGTTTAAAGAGCACTTATGATTAAAATCATCTTTTGTAAGCTGTTTGGACAGGATTGTGTGTAGTTATAGTTTGTTCACTGTCTTAGTGGAGTGATACAAACACAACAAGTCTCTTTTTAAATTTCCTAACGTTAAAATAGGACACAAATCACAGTGATTTTGAGGCTCACCGCAACTTGACGTTGGAGTGTGGTTTTCCCTGGCCACCAATTTGATTGACAGGCACCGTGTTTCAACAATAACATGTATACACATGTCCACGGAACATTGTTTTGCAAATAAACTGAGATTAAAATATTTGTTACAACTATCTGTAATGTTGATAAGTTTTATAAATGTAAAAGTTTTTTTTAAAACAGAGCATGCTAGTAATAAAGACAATAAAATTGCTAATTCTTAACTGCTATAATCACCATGGCCAGATGGTGTCAGTAAACGCTAATGGCATTTGTGTGTGACTCATCATTTCAGAAAGGCTTGAATAAACTCCACCACAAATACATGGAATAAACTTACTTGGTACTTTTGACTAATGAGCTGTATTTCAGCTTCATTCGTGTCCGTCTTTGTCACTGACTGCTGCTATCTGATGTAAGGCAGGAAGCGCAGACACACACCTTGGAATAGTGGGCAGGGAGGAGCAGCTCGTTTGCATTTAAAGCCACAGGCTACAAAAACAGCTACACTGTACTCAGACACCAAATAGGGCAGATTCTGGAGGCTTTGATAAATTATCTGATGGGTATTTTGAGCTGACATTTTACTGACACATTCTGAATACACCAAAGGCTTATCTTACATCTTGTTAAACTGGTAAAATAGGTCCCTTTTAAAGATCGTGCTAAGTTATTCCTAACTGACAATAGCTATGTTTCCAACCAAAGATGCGAATTAGACTTAAAGCGCAAAACTGGAATTTATTATAAAACATTTGAGAATAAAGAAAATGAGATTTCATCCAAAAAGTCAATGAAAGAAAATCACCACTTCCTGATAAACTGGTACAAAATATCAAAAATAAAAATAGAATTTAATGGTTAGGAGGAGCCACTGCTGGCCTTTTTTCTTATGTAGTACATTTGTGGAGGCATGAGACACTCTTGAGTGCAGACACTCAGGACCATTATGGAGGTAATGATATTAATCCACTTTGATGATGGACTTTAGCTGAGGGATTTTGGCATGTCCAACACAACCGTTTTTATATTTTTACAACAGACTATTTTCATTGGTCTTACAATGTTGTTTACATCGGTCGCTCCACTGGTTTTTCCATTTATTCTGTCCCAACACCACGTTTTTAAAACTGTTAGATTTCAGAATTTACAAAATCACTTTTTTCTTATTGAATTAAAAAGTTAACCCTACTCAGTTGTTTTTAGTTTTTTATGCTCATCTTGACATTTCCATTAAGCATTTTTTATGTGATTACTCCAAAATGCGCATAAAAATAGTATATAGCTATTGATTCAACTTAGATTTTTAAACCTTTTACCATTGTGATGAAAGCAGAACATACAAACTTGTCTTTGGGTTGCCGCTGATGTGTATTGTTATGATCCAGCTTCATTACTATTCAAAACCAGTAATTAGATCATCTCACCATATATGAATAATATGTTTTTGTTTATTGTGTTGTTTTCCGCCCTCAGTGCTGTTTTGAGCAGAGAATGAAAGTGTGGCAGCGTCTGCAGGAAGCTCAGATCACACTGCAGAAGAAGCGAGAGGCTGAAGCCAAACTGCTGTGGGCAAACAAACCTGAGAAACTGCAGCAGGCGAAGGACGACATAAATGAGGTTAAACCATCAAGCGTGAATGAACACTCTGCACATACAGTAGGGCAACACTTAAAGGGATAGTTCACCGCAAAATGACATCATTTACTAACCCTTCATTGGTCACCATCCTCTATTTGAGTTTTTTTCTTCTGTTGAAAACAAAAGAAGATATTTTGGAAAATGTTGGAAACCAGTTACCATTGACTTCCGTTGTGTTTGTTTAACTTAACTATGGATGTTAATGGGAATGGTTACTGTTTCCAACATTCCAAAATATTTTCTTTTGCGTTTAAATGTTTGGACAGCTGAAGGTAAGTTAATAGTGAGTTAATTCTATCATCATTTCCACTTGTTCTAATCCAAAGTTTTTTCCTCAATTAAATACAACAGAAGATATTTTGAAGAATGTTGGAAACTGGTAGCCATTGGCTTCTAGAGTATGTTTTCTCCTCTACTATGGATGCAAAAGCCTACTGGTTATCAGGGTTCTTCAAAACATCTTTTTTATTCAACAGAAAAAAGCTTAAAGATACAGAACTTCTTGAGGATGAGTAAACCGTGAGTAAATTTAGACTTTTAGGTGAACTATCACTTTAAAATCTTTGTTGCATGTTTCTGTTGATTCCAGATGAATTTCAAGATGTTTAATTTTTAACATGAGACTCTTTTTGTGTGTGTGTGTGTGTGTGTGTTTTTCACAGTGGGAGTCTAAAGTCAGTCAGTATGAGAGAGATTTTGAAAGAGTCACCTGTACTGTGCGTAAGGAAGTGCTCAGATTTGAGGTAAGACACGTTGTGGTATGTACAGTTTGAAAAACTTATAATGCACAAAACATCATATTTTAGTATTTGGAGGAGTAGTGAAAGTAGTTTAATTCATGAAAGTCATCCAATGTGTTGGTGACTTCTTTCTTCAGTAGAACATTAAAGTAGATATACAGTTAAAATCATTGTCAATGGTGATTTAAATAACGAGTGTCGATGGCTGTAGGCAGTTTGTAACAGTTAAAAAAATCAATCATACAGGCAACCGAATTAATAAACTTGACTCCTAGTGTAGGAAACTGAAAATGATTTACAGCACGATTCTTCATGATTCCATGATTGCTCATTCTTCAGCAGGATCACAAAAGTCTGGAGAATGAACTTCCTGTAGCATAATGAAGGATAGACTTGACTGTCATAAACATGCTTGACAGTTTTTTGAAGTTCTTGATTTGATTAGTTAACATATTGCAAATAATTCTATAACACAGATTGGTTGTTTCATAAAACATAAATTGCATTGTCAGGAGCCACACAAATTACTTGTGTATTTGTGATCCTGGACTGTCTTAAGTTGCATGGGTATATGTTTGGAAACATCTCAAATTACACTATGGCTCAAAAGTACTGATTCTTCTTTTATGTCATTATCATATATATATATATATATATATATATATATATATATATATATATATATATATATATATATATAAATAATTATAAATATATATGTGTGTGTGTGTTTGTAAACATGTATATATATATATATATATATATATATATATATATATATATAAAAAAAAAAAAAAAAATATCTCTCT